TCTGAGGATGCTCATCCTTCAGCGAGCAGGGTTTCCTGCAGTCGTCGTTTTACTCTGGCTGCTGAACTATGCAGCAAACACAAGATTTGCATATAGAAGCCAGAGCACATGTGGACCTTGGCTTTTAGCAGTGTGTGTCAGAAGACAGAAGAATGAATGACCACAAGCCTTTGAACTTTCAGTGTGAAACCTTAATCTCTTACAGGCAGCTTCACTCAGCTACCCTGCTGCTGTTTCCCTCTGCCTCCAGCCTGATCGCTGAAGTCAAGTAATTTACGCCTACCTGCTGGAAGGAAGGAGGTGATTGATGCGTTGTTTTTAGCTCTTGTAAGGTGCTTGAAGGCTGTTACGGTGGCTGCCAAGAGAGCTGAAGCCTACAAACACCTGCGGAACTTGGTCATGCCTCAACTGCTTATGAATTCTCTGGGAAGATTAAACACGTGGGAATGAAGCTTCACACTACATCATCTCATTCTTCAGTCTATTTAATATTTGATTAATGCAGAGATAGGGAATTAGGAAAGGTGAAGTTTATTAAGCACTTCAGAATTTTGTTCTAAAATATGCACTTGAAAATGGGAATGGGGCTTGGGGTGAGGGGAAGCCTTACGAGCTTTGTTTTCTTTCTGTAGACTCTGTAGGGCAGATACCATGGATATACCGTAGAGCCTGACTAAAATGGCTTTATGCTTAGTTTTGTGTAGGTTGCAGTACATAAAATTTTATTAGCGGCAGAATTAGTAACAAATCGTTTGTAACCATGTAGAATTGTATTTTAAATTGAAACTTTAAAAGGCCCTTTTTTTCCTTCTGTTTTATACAGAAAGAGCAACTTAGTACAGGTACAGGCATGTTTTCCAATTCTTTCAGTGCGTTCATCAGTCCCCTTTCTCTCCCAGGTGATCTCTGTGAGTCGGCAGCTTTTTCCACTCAGCATATCTGTACCCTGTCCCAGGCACATATTGTCACAAACAAGCCACGAGGAATGGTGATAGCTTGCTAAGCAGAACCCGTTTCTGTTTCAAAAGGCATGAGCTCATCAGTACATCATGGCAACCAAATTAGTTCTTGTTATCTTCAAGACAGAAGTTTTTAAAAGGTGTGATGCAATGTACAGCCCTTTCCGCAAATGAGTATTGAGCAGCACAGAGAAGATGCGGGGAATTACCTCTGTGCAGGAGCTAATGAGGCAAACCCACGTTAGAAGCCAGACTAATTGATACTATTAATGACTTGTAAGTCCACAAATGTGTCCTAGGGTCTTAAATTTTAGAGGTAGATGTGCAGACTAAGCAGCTTGTAGCTTTGAGAAGAGCATGATCTCACATCATTTTTGCCTGGAGCGAGCTTTAGTGCTCATGGCTGTATTTGAAGGAAATTTCAACCATATTATGGGCTGGTTTTGAGCAGACCTTGAAGACCATCTAGTTCCAACCCCCTGCCATGGGCAGGGCTCTGACTCCAGGAGCGTGGGCCCCATCCAGCCTGGCATTGAGCATCTCCAGGCATGGGGTGCTTAGAAACCTCTCTGGGCAGCTGTGCCACTACTTTACCACTGTACTGTTGAAGTTCTGGTTGTAAAAGCAGACTGAAGTACTTAAATGTATTTCTGTTCTGTAGAGTGTTCCCGCAGGGTGTTGGCTTTCTTGTTGCTTTTTTTTTTTTTTTATTTAATATTTTTAAGTTTGCTGGCATAGTGGATTACATTGAACTGTTTTGCAATGGGACAAGTGCTGGTGTCAGCATAAGGGGGGGAACAACCTACAGAGCTGGGGAGTGAAAGAAATGGGTTGAGAAGAAGATTTTGCCACAGGACAGTGGGATGCCTTTTGTTCCTTTACAGGCAGTCATGTCATCCTCAGTTTTTACTATGATGTCCTTTGTATTATATTCCTTCTACAAAACTAAAGGAGCGTGTGGAAGAGAGTGGGGCGATGTCCTGCCTGTTAAATCAAGGGTGCGGAATCCTCTTATCTAATTCAATAAGGAGATGCTTGTATCTTCATCTCATCCTGTTGTGTGAAGATGTTAAAACTTGCAATAGCAGACAGAAGGCACCATAATAATAACAATCAAGAATGGAGTTGCCTGCTTTATAATATATTACTGTTACTAGTGGAATTTGAGCTGATTTATCAAGATGAGACTTAATCATGCCTTGTAGTTTTACATGAATAGCCCATTAATCATTCATCGGCTGCATCTCATTGAAAGTTGTTGTATTCTCAAGCCCTCATGGTCATAAAGAATTGTTTTGGTTTGTGTTCACATGCAGTAAAGCTTTCTCCTTCCTCTTCTTCTCGTATTTTGATATTTAGGTTATACCAGAATTGTGGTGCCAGCAGCTGAAGTGGCACGAGTTTGTGATGCTCGCAGACAATAGGAGGCCGCACACAGCCATCAGGGCTGCTTCAGGAAAGCCTGATGGCCTCAATTGCTTAGGGCTCACTGTTCTGAGCTGGGGTCTGTGATGGTTCTCCTTCGTGGTTTCAGAGCAATGGAACTGGAAGAATGAAATTAATCTCTATGAAGCTACTTAATTGTCTCGAGTTTGCGCTTGGTACCCTAGCAGTTACAGTTATCCTCTTCCCACTTAGCCTCAGTACAGTTCCATGGCTTCCTGCACATCCATGTTGCAATACGTTTGCAGTAAAAGCCTTCATGTCTGCTTCCAGATTATCAGCGTTATTGCTGAATGCGCTAATTGAAACCAAAACCATGGCTGGTAAGGGAAAAAGGATGTCCAAGTCGACTTAAAATTGGTTAAAAAAAAAACACAACACAACAGGCTAACAATATCCGGTGGGAAAGATTGCCCAGAAGCCATTTCTGTCATGATTTTGAATATCTCAAGGCAAGCCAGTGAGAAAAATGTTCGCATGCAGGGTGGGTTGGCAGTGTTCTTCCCAAAATATTATTACTGGTCTATTCATCTCTAGTGCTGATGACGTGGCTTCAGGGAAGGAGAGCGCATATTAGTATGGCATGCACGTTCCTGAAACCATCCTGAGCCCTGGAGGTTCTTTATACAGTAACAACAACAAGTTAAAGCTGCTAATAAGGACAGAGCCCTCTGGGTGCTGCATGTTGTTTTGCAAAAATCCTTTGGCATTACAGGCTCTTTAAGGTATTTCCTTTCCTTGGATGCTTCAGTCTGTTGGGCTGTCAGCTATCTAGGTAGTAGAAATGCTTGGGTTGCTTGCTCATTGCTGGATCGAAATGCCTCACTGCATTCTGAATCAGCCCAGGGAAGCCAAGCCCTTCTGGTTTGGGGCTCAATCTCTTACCACAGGGATATACCTGGAGGGCTGCATGCCATTCAGCATCATAGGCTTTTACTCCATATGTGTATCCTCACCTCTGTCCCGGCTTCTCACAGTATTTTTGGAACTGCTGAGAATATCTTCTTGGGTCTGTCATTTCCTTTTGTACAAACATTTTGGAAGAAGATGAGGAGACCAATTTCAGCAAGTATTTTTTTCTGCTACGTGTAATGGGTGCAAGGCAGCTGTAGCTGTGAGAGGTGCATAGCTAAGGGGAAGGTGGAGCCTTTCACTGCTTACTTGCTGTGGGGGAGTGAGCTAAGGTGGGTTCCAAAGATGAGGAGAAGGAGGACATGGTGTAGATCATATTCGGAGAGGAAGGTATGGAAGGAGGGAGCTCCTCCAAGGTCAGTCTGCATGACGCTTTGGGAAGTGGTTGGTAATGGTTGTACACCCCTGGATATACGTACTGAAGATAGGAAGATACGAATTTAAACAACAAAGCCATTGGATCTTAGGAGAATAGATGTATAATTTATATTTTTTATAGATTTATCTTATTTTAGGACACTTCATAAAATGACTTGTGAGAAAGATTAGTAAGGATTAAAAATAAAATTATGGCTAACAGGAGCTAGTTGATTCTCTTTTTATTTGGGGCCTTTACAGTGATACGGGCTTCCTACAAGAGTTTTAAGTTGCTGTAAGCACAAAATAGAAACTGGGAATATAAAGAGAATAAAAGTATTCACTCTGCCAAGTTTAGATTACTGAGGATTTCAGATTTCCTAAGCCTCCCTATAGCTACTAGAAGGAGAGCAGGGGGGAGGGATGAGTGGACAGACAGACAGATGGAAGATGGCCTTCCAGAGAGATATAAAGCTCGTAAAAACTGAAATGGTTGCAACACGTTTTCAGGCTTGACCTTAAAGAAGAATCTAGGTGAAGTATTTTTAGTGCCCATATCAAAGTAACTGCATGTCAGTGAATAGCGCCAACTTAAAGAATTGATTAGAAAGCAGTCCATGCTTAACTGGTAGTAATTTGGATCAGTTGTTTTGCAGGATTAGGTGTTATATCGCCGAACTAAAATACACTTTGCATTATCTAAATGGTGATCCATTGCTCCAAGCATTGCATTTTATAGTTCTGAAAGCCTGACGGCTCATCTCTATGTAAGAAGAAGCTCCAGGATCATCTCAGGCTAAGTGTGGTCTACTGAGAGCACCAATTGATGCTCATTTTTTGATAATCATGTTCTTACGATCCTCTTAATGCCTTTTAGATGAACAATTTCCTGAATTGGCTGAAGGTTTTCCTTGGTTTCCATGAAAGGTTTCTTGGATTCTTTAGTGAGCTGTTCAAGAGAAAAAAACACAGGAATGAGAGGAATAGGGAAGGGGAATTATCAGAAATACAAATGTGATCTCTCCTTTCAGAAACCTCTTACCTGTCTGGGTCAATTTGTGTTCTAAGATGTGGCATCTGTAACTTTCAACTTAAAGCAATTCTGCAGTGTGACCACATGGGGTTGAGGTTGTGCATACCCCACCTGTGGTAGATGCAGGAAAAAAAACATGTTGTGAGGAATCAGAGGAAGGCAACTCTGTAGAACACAAGCACAACTGCCCAAAGCTGACTTGTGTTTTAGGGCTCTGAGGCAAAAAGACACACACACATGGGTCTGCAGGGCTTGCTGCAGTGCTGGAAGCAGCACATACTGTGCAAGTCGAGCTGCAGAAGCTTTGCCAGTAGCCATGCTGTGTCTATACAAAACCTCTAGCAAAAGCATCACTTAATCCCTCTGTGATTGATCTGAGCAAGGGAGAGTTACCTGGTGACAGCAGCTGAGTTAGACCTGAAGTAAACTGTGGTTAAATGTCCGTGGCAAGATGAAACAGAAGGAAAATTACTGCACACACCCAGCATCCCTGGGAAACTGGGATCAAGTAAGCTGACCAAAACTGCATTAGTGCTGGTGAAACCAGCAGTTGTGCTCTCAACTTTGTGTCCGTTGTCTCATGAGGAATAAAGGGGAAAGTGTAAATTGCTTATATAAAGCTCAGCAGGCAATTAGTTTTTTAGAAAAGAATTGCAGTAAAATAGACCCTGGTGTGGGTGTGAAGGATGGACCTTTGAAGTCTAACTGCGATTGTAAGTTATGCATACTTGTGGCCTCTGGGATCTTTTCTATCTAACGTGTTACCAAAGTTCAGTTTTTTGAAAGACAGCTATATTTAATTTTAGAATGAAGTTATTCTGAATGCCTACGCACTTATGTCACTCTCCTCATCTGAAATTGGATATTAATGAAAAAAATAATGGAGGAGAGTCAAGTTGGACTGTGGGGCTTTGGGTCCAGCTGTTGTGATCCAGATTTGTGTGACCACATGGGGAAGCGAGCTGGAAATAAGGGGTTCCAGCTGAGTTCCTGAGCAGGCCAGCTACCTATATGCAGGCTGCTTTTCCTACTCTTTAGCCTAGAAAGGGATTTCAGCTTGATCTTGTATATCATTTAAGTGCAGATAGATACAGGGGCGGAACTTCACACCTGACCTTTTAGATTGACGGAAATTGAGACTTAGCATTTTCAAAACCTTGATGTAGAATTATCACAGCAAAATTTTGCTACTGAAGCCAATAGATTGCTTTTGTCTCCGTATGGGAACTGCTCAATCACGGCCTGAACCTCTGATTGATCACCTGAGGTGAGCATATGAGTCAGCTACAGGAGCACAGGTGAAGGCAATTCACCTGTGCTGCTGGAAGGGGTGGAACCTGGCTGCACCTCTCTTAGACCCATTTAAGAGCTGACTGCCAGTAGGGAAGGATCTCTTCTGGAGATCTTCTCTGCTGGAGATTCATAGCAAACTCAGGATTTGGGTAAGCATCCTATTTATTTTGCTTTGGTTTAATAACTGCGTGGCCAAGCTCTCTGGCTTGTCTCATAACCGTAACATCTGTATATTCATTGATTGTACAGGCTCTTTGAAAGGTGCTCTGAGGACTGAATTTTTTTTGAAAGCTTTGGAATTTTATGGTACTTATGCATGTTGCGAAATGTAGAGCTTGTTTCTTTCTTCCCCTTCCCTTTGTCCAGAGCAATGAAGGCAGAAGGAAGCATGAAATGCTCCTGACTTCTGTGTTCGTAGGTGACACAGATGATAAGGTACTTAATCAGCAAAAGATTATGAAAGCAGTAGGAAGAGGCAGAATTCTCTGCATTTGCTGCTGATGGAATTACTGGAAGAAAATCTCATCATTGTTTCATTATTGAGGGCTTTAAACCCTCAAAAACGTGAGTAATATTAACAATGGTTAATTAAAAATGGCATCTGAAAGACATCACTGTAAAGTGAAGGTTTGCTTTAAAAAATCTAGAATGGTCAGAGTTCTTTGTTGATTTCATCTGCCTACCAGAGCAAGTCCAAGGCTGTCCCAGCTACACACGCACCTGCCGGTAATGGTGAGTGATGAGATTTGAGCCATTATGCTTACACTGCGCAAGACGAAGTGGGAATTTTGTCTTGCTTGAAGGAAGACTTACTGCTGAAGTGGGCTGTAAAATGGTGAAGATAATTGTATTTCACTGCAGTGAGTTACAGAAATCTACCAGTGACTGAAGTACTGTAGTCAGAGTAGATATATGGGGAAAAGAGGTAGGGAAGTATATTACTGCAAGTTTTTATTTATTGTAACCACTATGTTCACTAAATTTCTGGGCAAAACATGATTGTTTTGTTGAATTGGAACTGTCATCCCTGTCGTTATTACACTATTCTTTACTAGTTTACAGCATGACTGGTTACAAGTTTCATGTTTTGAAAACTCCTCTTACCTAGGCTAGCATTTGGTTGGGTGCCATCTGTAGGAAAACCTTGCAAAATGATGCATGGATGAGAAAGGTCCATTCTCTCAGGGTTAAAATTAGTTGATAGCAATAGGTGTGCTTAGAGTTGTGTTTCTGCTGTCTTCAGAATCCATAAATAGAAAGGAAATTAAAGAAATGAGCATTTCTTACGAACAGAATTTGAAGACAGCATGTTCTCTTATGTAAGCAACATGTTTTCAGTAAATTGTTTCAAGCTGTACATATGTGTTTGCCAATCCTCAAAGCAAGCATTTGCGGCCAGGTTTTTTGGATGATAATAAGATTAACGATAAAATAACACTGAAAACAATTTTAAAATAACCTTAGGGATTTAACGTAAATCCATAAAAACAAGGCAATTCTGAGTTAAGGCAGCCAGAGTATATTTAACTTAGTCATTTTTCTTCCCAGCTATAACACGTATGCTCGTTTGTTAGGAGAGGAGGGCCTGAGACCCCTTGATAAAAGCACAAACCATATGTGCGCTGATGTTGTGTTTATCTTAATTATGACTGATGGTGTGTGTTTCTTAGAATGGCTAAATAGCATTAAGGGGAAATAGCATGTATTTTATTTCCTCTGCTTATTTTTTAGCACTGCATGGCTAACTTTACATCCAGTGGTCATCCTCTTTTTCCAGTACCTGAATTCAGAGCGTAGTGGGGATTCCTGTAGCTAGACTTCAGTTTTCCTGAAGTGAGAGGTATTAATTGTTGTATAATGCAACAGGGTTGCAAGCGGTTTAATCTCACCTTCAAATCATTATAATTTTTGTGTTGAGGTAACTTCTTTACTACAGTTATTGTGCAAGTAGTGGTTATACTTTTTCAAAGCAAAATGTGCTCATAATTTCTTATGATTGTATGTTTATATAAAAGATCAAGAGAGAATACCCGCAGAAGGACTACAGTGATACTGAAATATGTTTGTATAATGGGGCTAATAAGACTCACTTTGGCCTTTGTACTGGATGTTTTTTCAAGTAGATGTTTTACGCCAACTCTTGTAAGCTTATGAAAGATGCAAACAAGGAAAACTGAACTTTGTAATTGTGCTGACAATAAGAGGATTTATTAGCCTGCTAGAAACTGTAAATGTGCTGCACAGACCTGCAACTTGATCTGAGGGAGCCGTTATTAGCGGTATTGGGTTATAAACCTTCCTGCCACAGAAAAGCCTTATGAGGTCTGACGTGCTTATTGCATACTGCATCTCTGCTGAGCTGCCTTGCGAAGTTCTGGCAAGTCTCTGCTGAACATATGCACAGTGCAGTTTTTTCAGGCATGTGCTACAGTGCGAAATTTCAGTTGATTTTCAAAGGATGATCCCTCAACAGCCCCGTTCTCCTCACCTCACATTTCCAGTCCCTGCTCAAAGCTATGTGTATGGAAGCCTTAGCATCAGGAAAACATAATGTTTCTTTTCATCTGTATTGTTGGAAATTGATATGTTTTAATGCTGAATTTTTCATTATAAAAAGTCTGAGGAAGCCTGGCAGGATGAAAGAAACCAAGTCAAGGAGTTAATCCTGCAAAATCAAACAGTACAAAAAGCAGGGGGTCTTCTAATGAGAAGGCTTGGGCAGCTAACCTAATAACGATCCTACCGTATTAGTCTGTAATTAGATCATTTCCTTTTGAGATGACCAAGAAATAAGTCCTTATAAATACGAGCTTATACGACACTAGTGACAACATCTCATGACTCGTAGAAGTCGTTGCCTGAAATCCAAAGATGTAAATCTATAGAAGTACCAATTCACTTCACAGGTAGCATTGCTTTCTGAAACAGGCAGCCTGGTAAGGTGAAGTGAGGTGAAATCTCACATCAGTGGGCCAGCCAGCAAAACGCAGCACAGTTCAATAACCATCAGAGGCTGCCTGTTGATCCACCTGAGTTACAGAAATGGGAGATGTCCTCATTCTTTTCACGCTCTGAGGACTCAGACATCTCCTGGAAACTATGGGCTGGAGCGTGTTATTTCAGAAGAAAGTACTTACAAGTAGGGAGTAACCATGTATTCAGATTGCCAAATCTTTTCCGCTGTAAAAACATCTCTCGACCTTTCTGGGAAAGCTGTAGTTCTCCCTTTGTGCATGGGAAGCCTCTGGAAATTGAGCAGATAGAGAACCTTGGAAACAGAGAAGTATCTTTTCCACCTCTTGCGTGCTTCTGCTCGGCTCTGGCTAAGGCTCATGCTCACTTAAGCCCTCCATTTCCCGCTTCCCTTCATAAAATGGCAGAATCAAAGGCTCTGGATGATGCTGGGAGAACAACCTGGCTGAACAACTCTCAGCTAAGGAAGAAGGTCTGCTGTTTCTCCCCTTCTCTCTCCTCCTGGCCATGCTCCTCTTCTGGTTTGTTTTATCCAGCACTGGCACCGTCACACTTTGCCCAAATTCACAGACCTTGCAGAAAACTGTTGCTGCTCCAGGGAGTGAGAAGATTCAGTTCAAGGCATGTGGGACAGCTAGCACGAGGACAGAGCTGTTATAAGCGGCCAGGAAGATGGAGGAGAAGGAGTGAGATGAAAGGGAGAGGAAATCCTCCTTTTCAGTATTGCTTTGGTCCATCTTAGCCATTTCGGAAGCTGTGTTCCCGGGTGTTTATTCTGCTTGGAGCTGTGGAAACACACATCTTCTCCAGGGAGCTGGATAGATGGATTCAGGCTGAGTGCCTGGACAGTTTCTTCTGCTCCAACACTTGGACACAGTGTACATCTACAGAGAAAGAATTGTCCCTATCATATGTTGTCTCTTATTCGATTGTACTGTAATGGGGCATATTAAAATTCAGCCCTGTTCTTTATAGGACTGGGTCTTCAGACATAAGATGGCAAGAACTTCCAAAATCAGATTATTAGATTAAATATATTTAGGAAGTGCTGAAATGCTTGAAAAATGCGAGTCTCAGTGCTGTTGTGAGCATCCCTAACTTAGTCGTCTTGTGTTCGTCATGGCACCTTTCTTCAGTGGCAGGGGCTCATCGTTATCCAGCCTGCGGCTCCCCCTCATCTTGCAGTGAATGGAAGTTGCAGAAACTTTATAAAGAAGAAATTAAAGATTCTGTGTAGGCTTTGGAAGTTAGATAAGTATGTCACTAACCAGAAGTTGAGAAGAGTGGATGTTTTGCCTCTAGCACGCTCTTTGAATAGTCAATTCTATGCTTGAATTAGACTCCAGAGTACAAAAATAGCTTATAAGAATAAAAGTGAAGATACCATCACAATGCTTATGTAGAAGCGAACCGAACAGCAGTTACATAGGCAGTCTAAATTCTGGCACTACCTGACTTTAACAGAGCTATGTTTTGCTATCTTAATGGTGTGAGTTGGGCCCATGCAATTGTTTGTACGTCATTAACATGGAAGATGAATAACCATTCACAAAGCCTTTCCTACGTGCATTGTGTTTCTTTGTCCATGAGGATTAACTCCTTTCTAAGCTAATCTTCAAAAAGGAAAATTATGTACTTATTAAAATAACTCGTTTTAGAGCTTCGTATTTTCACTTAGATCTTAATCAAGCTATTATTGTAATTAAAATATCCTGAAGTGAGTTCAGATTTCATAAATATGGATCTTTTTCCAGGCTGCCTTTGCGTGCGGAGCAAGTTAGCAAAGAACACACAGCTTGTAATGGGGCTTGTTAGTTCCCGTAGTCCTTGCTTAGGGTTTCTTCAGTGACCCTGCTGATCTCTGAAATTTCAGCCAAATTTATTTTCCTGACATCTCATAAAGTTTCCAATTGCCAGTCTCACATACAAGAGTCTCTTGCTCTTGTATGTCATAAAAATACATTTGAACTCTGAATTAAATTGGCAAAGCAGAATGAAGTAGTTTGAGACAAAACTCCTACTGCCTGCTTAAGCCCCCTTTTTCTATGGCTGAGTATTGCAGCATTCTCACGACAGAGCTGGAATACACCTGTCTTGCATCTTTTTGCTACTGTTGGTTTAAAACCATCTTTAAGAGTTTACCCAATATACCGAGGGCTTTTTAACTGAGCTTTGTAGTAGCCATCCTCTGTCTGTTTATACGTCCGGAAATTCTCTGCTCTTTATTTGCTTTTGTGACCTTTCAGTAGCAATTAGTGAACAGCTTTGCATACACAAATGTGCAGCAGTCTTCTAGGTCAAGCTAAAACAGAAATAATTATCTCCCTGCATCTACACATACTTGTTCTATTCTTTCTCTCCAGAACTAATTTTGCTCTGGCCTTTGGCACCATTAAAGTGTGTATATGTCTCTCTTGTTTGAGTTCGCTTTCCTCTGTCAGCTCATTGCTGTCTGCTTTGTTTGCCTTTTCTCAGTTGTCCACCGAGTGCCTTTCTTTTCTTTTTTTTTCCCTTCCTCATGCATAGTTGCACCAGGAGCAAAGCGTGTGGGATCTTTACAACCTCCCTCTGGGAGCCACTGCAGATCTGTAAGATGTAGTAGCATTATAGAGATGCAGGTGATGGCTTTGGAACACTTGATAGCTAGTGGCTGCCACAGCACGAAGCCTGATAATGTTCGAAGCACAGAAGCCTAAAGCCAGTTTCAGCTCTCCTGCTGATCTCCTGCAACTCTTCTGCAATCTCTGAACCTGAAGTAAGAGGTTCCTGATTGATAGTGATACAAACATCCCTGTAAACTTGCCTCAAGTAAGCTAAGTCTTTTTGAGCACTTAGAGCTGACTCTGTAAGGGTGTATTACATGTTCAGTGGATGGCAAAATTACTTGGTTGTTCTCTTGCTCCTCTAGAATAATTTTGTCTCCGTTTTCTCTGTCTGCTGTCTTTGGTGACTTTGCTTTGGTGACCTTGAAAGTACAATGGGCCAAATGTGGTGCTGTCATGCATGGGATCGGTGCCACTAACAACAGGTTGGGTTGTTGTTTTTTTTTTCAGTGACCTCAGCAGAAGCTTTCATCCAGTTTCTCGGTGAAGCTGCAAAAGTCAGGCACCTGCTCCCATCTTAAGTTCACTGCAGACTCAGGCTTGAACAGTCCATAGGGTGCAGAAGTTCAGTTCTTTGGAAAATGAGAACAGCGAAAAACATTTCCTCTCTTTGACAGAGCAATGGCAAAGCAGACTAAAATACGGTTGAAAAGACTTTGCTTGTAAAAATTTGTGATATGATTATGGAGTATTTTGCCTATGAGTAATGGATTGGAATCTGTAATTGTTGGCTCCAACGTTGTTTTTGCTAACTTGAACCACTGCAGCACTTCAAAAACGCCATTATGATGGGGGTCTTATTAAGCCATCACCAGAGGAAGACAAATAGTTCCCCTCCACCCCTCTCCAAAAAATCACTATCTATAAATGAGCCTGTGGGGATATAAACTAAAGATTTTGAAAGTAAATAAGTTTTGCCACAGCTCAAGAGATTTGGATGCAAATTTTCCAGAATTTAGAATTGTTTTAAAGCTGAACTCTTCACAGCCACTCCCAGTTTGAAAATTAATTTCCTCCTTTTTTTTTTTTCCCCAAGGTCTTGCTAAATATATTTAATAAATTAAAACTAAGTATTGCCAGCTCTATCAACAACTTTGTCTTTACGGATATTCCATGCTGAGCTTTTACTAAACAGACTGAAGTAGGAGAGCAGTAAGTTCAACCTTTCTTTCTCCCCCTGAGGAGTCCACTCCCTTCGCAGAGCACAGAGTTCAGCTCTCAGCCCAGACCACCCACATCATGAATGAATGCTCTGAACTTGCCCTCCAACCACCTGGAACTGGAGAGCTGCCTTCTGAAATAGACTATACCCTCTTCTGCTTCCTATTATCTCAGGTATATTTTTCAGTACTTAAGCACTCTATAGAGAAGGGTGATACCCATGCTACTGCTTTAATTATTACCGAAACGTTTACCCTCCGAGGAACAGGAAAAATACAGGAAAAAAGACAACAGTAAGTAAAAAGCAAAGTAGAAGTAAAAATTATCAGTAGACTAGTGTTATACTTATTTACTTCATTATCCATTTCTTCCCAGGTTGCAATAGGGAACCTGAGAAGTCAGACTAGCATGCACACAGGAGTTCGGAGCCTCTTTATTCAATATAAGTAGTGTTACTACTTGGTGCTTAAGGAGAAACTGATCACTTGATCTGGTCACAGATCTGCAAAGAAATTTGGTGTTTGGTGGCTGCTGTCACTCGCACTGCTGCTGGATGTTGGGGAAGAACCTCTAGTGGCAGTAGCAGGACTCAGGCTTATCATCCCTAGGGCTTCTGCTTTGGCACAGGTAATACTGAAGTGAACACCCATGCTTGACAAAGTTAGGGAGAGAAGCTTAAGAAGTGCCATGAATTGCCAATGGAAGCATCAGTGAGGTCTTCCTCTGATACTTCCTAACACTTCGGCATGCCCACTAACAACAGAAATCAGGACAGAATTATGCAACCATGGTATAATTATCAAATGGTGTCTAAATGGTCCATTTTCATCTGCCTGGCAGCTCTGGAGATGAGTTCTGGGAGGACAGGCGACACCTGTGTTCTAGAAAAGCAAGACCTTGAAGTTCATGTTGCTGAAAGCATAACTGACTGCTGGAAGGAGTAAACAGAAGGGTCCTCCTCCAGGAGTAGCAGAGGCTAACCAGTGCTAACAGCAGTTGTCTGTGGAAATACTGTTAAGTTTCTGCACGAGGTCTTGTATTTCTAAACTCTGTCCCAGCATCTGCAGTCAGGAGAGAAGTCCAACATTTCCCTACTACCAACCTTTGTAACATTCAGAGAAAATAGCAGAATGTTTGTGTGTAAATTTGTTTCTAGTTTTGTGCAGCGAAGAAGGGAGAGAATTGCTGATAAAGACTTCATCAGAAGTGGAATACTGATCAACATGTCACTACATAAACCAAAGATCATTTACTGTCAGTGATGCACTTTGATCTTTTATGTCAAATTCAACCATAGCGTAACAGCATTAATTGACCTTGAGGATTTATTTGACTTTTCTTTTTCAAATGTTTTCATCTTGTTTTTGGAAAAAATATGTGGTAACAGATTTGCGATGCACTTAATTCACATTCTTGAAGTTTATGATGGCCCAACCTAGCCTGTGTTCGCATTCCAGCGTTTCCTCCTGCATAAACCAAAGCACCTTCCAGATGTGGTTGATAAATTGACTTTGGTTCTGCTCTGCAGAAGTTGTATCAAGATTTCTTAATGACAAGCACGAGTTTTTATTTGATTTCAGTTTTTTTTCTGTACCAGTAAACTCATTTTTTCATAGCAACAAAGCCAGTTCTACAAGGTTCATTCTGGAAGCCCTTTGAGGTTCCTTGCCTGCCAGGATGGGAGGAGTCAGCTGCTGCTGGGTGAGCACTGGGAGGAGAAACAGTCTGAGAGACTTGCAGACCACCATGCAGCCAGTAGAAGGGTGGAGGGAGAAATGCGAACAAACAGAATTTCCAGATTAATCCCTTCTTGTATCCTGGTTTTTCTGTTCTATCTTTTATATGAAAAACTCCACGCAGTGAAGCTTCATTGTTTGTGTTTTGGGATTTGTGCAGCATCTAGCAGAGTATTGTTAAAGCAAGGATGATTCTTCATGGATGAGGCAATGCCAGCTATGAGTGATTTATTTACAGACAGAAAGAAAAATATTTTTAAATGCATCAATACCTGCTTTCATGTGTTTTAGGTAAAACTCATTTTCCTTTACGGTCAGGGTTTTAGAAAAACGTTAGATTTTCCTAGGCCTAATATTTAAAACTTTTCTTCTCATAATTAATGCAGGATGCTGAAAATATTTTAAAATGGCTTACATAAATAATTGTTTCACTAATATGTCTAAAAACATAACCTGTTTTCCTGGACCAGATAGACATTTCTTGCAACACTGCTTTTTAATCCACATTCCACTGCCTGGAAGAGATACATTTAATTCTTTGGAAAAGATCTCTAAGAAGTGAGAAATTGAAAAATGCTGGCTCCGTTATTTTTTAGAGCCAGTACATTTCCCTTTGCTTCATGGTTGCCAAGAGCTTTTATCCATTAAGGATACTCAGACTTACATCTACTCAGTTCACTTACACAGATCCATATATTATGAGGTTCTGGGTTCCAGAGTAAGTCTTACACAAAGCGCTGCTGAAATGGTCTCGCAGGATGCAAGGGGCCGTCCATATAGTGACAGCTAACAGACTGTTAGGGAAGCATTGTTAGATTTGCTGCATACCAAAGGGAAAAGCACTCTCTCTAAATTAAAAAAAAATAATAATTAATTTAGCGTGTTATGTAAATTTGAGAACATATGATGTTTGTATGTCAACCTGAGCTGAGCCTGCTTATAGTGTAATGCACTCCTTTCTAGTAACTGTAATGTTGTATTTTATGCATTCTCATTCTTATATATTTTCATAACTGATTGGCTTCCTTTTGTGTCACTCAAACAGAATTTATGCTCTTTCTACAGCACTTTGCTATGTGAGCTGCACAGAGATTTCTGATAATACTCATCAGGTGAATTGCTTTCACCTCTTTCCTAGTTGTCTTCTCTTATCTTGTTAGACTTATTTCCATGGCTATGTCTGATATAATCCAAGTGCGTGTCCAGGGCTTCTCAGCACAGGAAACAGAGCCTACTTTTTCAAGTAATTCTCCTAATGTGAACACTCTTAGACATAGCAGTCACACAAGGATATTTGCCAGCACCACCTTTCAAATCATTCCATTCTGTGCTTTTCGATGACATTAAAATCTCACAATTCACTTTCACAAGGCCCTGTGGGAAAAGCAAGTCTTTGGGTCAGTCATTTTGAGGTGTTATGTTTTCGTTTTAACTCCGATTTTTCACTAGGGGAGGTGGCTGATCCCAGTTTTTCCTGCTTCCTTGGAACATCTTCCTTGGCTCCTTAGAGGGGATTTCAAGCTCACTGAGCCTGCTTTTGTTAGTGGTTTTTTACTCACCTATTTTTACTGAGGGTGGATGAGTGGATTTGTGTTTTTGCCACATTCAATGATGGTTACTTGTCATCTGTTTCTACAGATTCAAATTTTGGTTATGTTGAGCCAGTGATGGACAAACAGAGCACTGTGATGTGTTAATGACTTAGCTTGCTCCCTCTCTGTTACCAGCATTTGTGCACGTTCTGGTCAGTTCCACGGCATGGAGGCTTGTGATGGGCACAGTGAGACTCGTCAGATTGGTCTGCAGTGCTCTCCATGGACATCATAGCTTTTTCCATTTAAACTGCCCTCTCGGAGTATTTCTTACATGTTTCCGTGACACAGTGAACATTTGTTATTTCACCATGTGGACTTGAGTATATTTAGTTCTGTTGGTCACTGCACTATATTCTCTGTGCAGTTCCCTCTGCTGATCAGAAAGGACTTTCCCATAGCATTAAGAAAATTACGTATTTATCACAGCTCCTCTACATATACCTCCTTGTCATGTCCTGCTCATAAGGGGAGGAGAAAAGGAGTGACATTTACATTCCTCATGGTGAGCAGATCCTTTCACCCTGCCGCTTTCCTGCACAGACAGCTGCACAGGGCCAGAAGAGACCAACATTTTGTTTGCCTGAAACTTTTAACAAGCCCCTCTGGTGTATCCATAGAATGGTTGGGGTTGAAAGGGGCCGTTAAGAACCTCTATTTCCAACTCCCTCGCTGTAGGCAGTAACACCTCCTACTAGACCAGGTTGCTCACGGCCTTATCCTGCCTGGCCTTGAATGCTTCCAGGGAGAGGGCATTCACAGCCTTGTTGGGCAACCTGCTCCAGTGTCTCATCAGTAAAGTTCTTTACGGTTCCAGTGTCACCATAAAGAATTTCTTCCTACTATCTAATCTACATCTACCCTCCTTCAGTTTAAAGCCATTTCCCTTCATCCTGTTGCTGCATCCCCTTATAAAAAGTTCCTCCCCAGCTTTCCTGTGAAAATAACAGTTTGTGAATGTCCTTGTGTAAGTCAGCCTCCCCTGAACAATATGAAGGAGCAATCCTTTTACGTACTCTTCTGATGCGCGCTACTTAAGCTGTCCTCGTCCCCTCAGTGTGATAGCTGACTGATTTGATCACTCCCATGGGAATTTTTAGTAGAAACAAGATTTTGGCTCTCCTTTTTATTTCCCTCTGGAAATTTGATTAGAATCTGTACACTGCAATTCAACAATGCAAAGTTTCTAACAGCTTTAGAGTGCATGCATTGTATTGAGGTTTGCTTCTTAAACATAGATCTCTTGTGGAATAATTGATACCTTGAATAATTTGTATCTGAAATGTTGGCTGTTACTCAAAGGCATCAGAAATCTGTCTCTTTGGTTACCATCAAGAGTCTTCTAGAAGAAGATGCTAAGTGAGTATGGTTAATATCAGAGTGGCTGTGATTCGCAGTAGGACTGGACAGTAATACAAGCACTGCAGAGTTTGTTCCTGCATTTTTCCTGCTCTTCTACTCAGAACTAAATGTTGCACTTGGCGGATATATAGTAGATGAAGTCACAGCGCACCTTCTTGCCTGCCTTTCAGCAGCTATCTTTAAGCAAGATTTGCTGGAAAAATCCTGATGTTGTTTTGTTGGCCTTGTGGAAGAAACTTGAAGTGCTTCTGAAACATAAAAAAACACGTGAGTCACAGGGTCCATTGTGTAAGGAGATTAGGAATCAAATAATGATGTACTGTGTACTAGCCAAACTACGCTTTGTCACAGAAAGAGACTTAATGAAATTCTGGAGTTTCTCAACCAAAATAAGGATAACTCTTTTTATATTTTATTTTCATGAAAAGGATAGATTAAAATGTTTTAGAGGAGACAGAATATGAAGATGTGGTTCTAAATTTCTGCTTGGAAAAAGAAAAATTGAACAGGATGAGGAAAGTGATGTTTTTCTCCTCTGGATTTTGTAGTTGCACTATTTGGATTGATCTCGCTGTAGAAAATTTCCTTTCTTTAGAAGAAGCATTTTGGCTTTGTCCAAACAGCAATAAGAGAACACTTTCAGGTGTAAAAACTACAGATCTATTGGGCAACCCAACGAAATTTAGAAACCTGAGAATAATAGAAAGCAAATCTGTTAGCAATTGCCATTCATATCAGAGAGACGTCTTGCAAAAAACTTCTGGATTCTAGATTCAGGGAAGGGAAATATTAAGCAAAGCACTGACAAGAACAATGAAACGGTCCATGAAATTTTGGCCATCAATACTAGAGAATTCATGTTTGCTTATACATCTTTGGTTGTGGCTCTGAAAAAAGTGAATACTTCTGCAGTTCTTTTTATTCAGTTTCTTCATATTCGTAGCTGCTGTGTATTTTGTTGATCGTGTATTGATGACTCAGAATGAAAACTTGTAAGATGAGCAAATCAGAAATAAAAACATTATAGAAAGTCTTACAGCTTTTAATAGAAATTGAAGACTATGTAACAGAGAACTGAATCCCTGAAATGGCACATGATGGCAGTTGCACAAGTTTGGATCACAAAGCTTTTGCTTAAGAGCCACTTGCATGTATTTTTGACAGGTTATGTTTTAAATAATGTCTTATTATTACCAGAAATAAAGCAGAACTATTTAGGGTTCACCTTTGGCACACCAGAGTGACATCTGAACCTGGCAGATAAAAAGTATTCCTTCTAAAGCACTAAGTTAGTGCTGTTGGGTAGGCTGAAATTTGTGAAGGAATGGAGCGAGTCCTAGAGGTTGATCTCCAACAGAGGGAAGGTGTCCAGGAGATTTTCTGTGGCCCCAGTATACCCATCCCTGCTGTGCCTGTCCCTGCCATACCCATCTCTGGTATCCCAGCTCTCCAGGAAGATTGCACCTCACAGCTTGCCCTCATAGTGATGGCACAGATTGGAAATTTCCATCTGAGTTTGTCTAAGAAATCTCTTTTAATAGCAGCTTAGGATGTGCCAAGAAACATCTCTCTGCGTCTGTAGGCCCTGTGTGTATCTGTTTATTCCACGCAAGAAACAAGGATGAGAATTTCCCCTGCCTTTTCCTACCAGGTCAGCCTAGTTAGATGTCTTTGCCCTGATGCAAATATAGGCCAGCACAAAATTGTGCTGTGGATGAGTGACTTTATTTACCTTCTCTGCTCCCCGTATCAGTGTGGCTGAGGCACGCTCTCATCCAGTGAGGAGCAATAATGGCACAAGATGTGACAGAGGGGGTTGCTCTTCCTGGTGCTTCAATGAGGCTCGGCTCACAGATCCTTTTTTTCCCTCTTTTCCCAGCACAAGTCAGACTTTGAAGCACAGCATAATTAAACACGGTAAGTAATGAAATCGACTTAGTCTGAATTTGATCAGAGAGTTTCTGAATTTTATATGCTGGTGGCCATTTCCTGGCGGGAATACCTCTGCAAAAAATAGCCTCTCTTGGGAGTACATAATGCTTCCAGATGGCACGCTCAATGAAAAACAGGAAATTGTCTTTTTTGCATAATACACAATCCAAAAGGTGGAAATTAAAATATTTCTCACTTCCTTAAGAGAGTTCAGAAGGAAACATTTAACTTTCACCTGCTAGTCAACCCAAGAATAAATCAAATCCTGATCTGATTCAATCAGGAGCGTGCATTTACTAACTAGCCTGATTCTCCTGGACAGAGCCATCAAGCAGAGCTCACACCAGGTCTTATCAGCCCATTCTGAAGAGGGGCTCTTCCCTCCATGCTAGTGGCTGGATGATCCTGCTCCCCACATGAGAACAGGCAGGATTCCTCATGTGAGCAGCAGGACACAGCCAGGGTTGATTCATAATGCAGAGACAGACAGTAAGGCAACAAGAGTGTCAGCCTCCTTGGAGATCTTCAAAAGCCACCTAAACATGGTCCTACATAACCAGCTCCACGTGGCCCCCGTTCTTCACTAGAGAGACTGAACCTTATGACCTCCAGAGGTCCCTTCCCATCTCAATCGTTGTGTGATGTGGTGAAGAGGCTAAAGATTGGAAACTGAAAGTGGAAAAAAGATATGTGATAGGGCAAATGAACAAGCGAGGGGTTAATGTGCAAACAAGAAACTGGTGAAAGCAGGAAGACAGGGAGGAGAAAAAAAACTGTGCCAGAAGGAAATCCATCCTATAGAGAATAAAAAGAGAAAGTTGGACCCCTGGATCCAGTAATTATTGTCATAGCCCTGGGACAATTAGAAGAGTTGATACAAGTATGTAAGTATAGCAAACTGAAAACCGAACAAGGAAAGATAACAGTAGTCTGATAGATACTTTAGGGAACTTTGTGAAGCCTTTGAAATGCTAATGATGACCAAAGATGCTTTAAGTGATAGCTACTCCAAACACACAGGCAGAGATCTTCCTTTTAGGTAACAATCCTGCTGCTCCTGCTCCTATCTTTAAAAATGCCTGAAAGTAGAAAGGCTTAATAGAAAGATTTTATTCTATCGCACAGATGGGAATTCCTTTAAGAATAAATTAATACTTTATTTCTGAAAAGATACTTACTTTGTTTTACTTTTTGAGGACTCAGTTTTCTCTGAAATGAGTTAAAGGCTTTACAGGAATCAGAGCCGAAGCACCATATGCTCGATCTTCAGACCCCAAGTTAGAGGAAAAATGTTTTGTTTTTTTGTTTGTTTTGCCTTTTCTGTAAGGGGCTGAGGGAACACTCTAAAATGTCCCTGAGTGAAATGTTCACTCTGCCATTTTACCAAGGGGGCAATTGCACACTGTTGATCTTTCCCTTCTAGGGAAGGCGTTTGTTTTGAGGTTAAGGAAGACAGCTACTGGAAAAAAAAATCCTGTTTAATAAAGAAATGAACAATTTGTTTGGCGGAGAAGACAAAAAATGCCTGACGAAGGAGAAATAGGAGTGTTAACCTCAGACTTTGTGTGTGGTCTACAGATGAAGTGTTTTGAAAGCCATGTTTTGCCTGTCCTCTCTGAGGGAATAGAGAGGGAGAAACAAATGACTGCCATTGCTGCCTGTGATTTTTTTGTCTTGTTTTAGGACAAGCAAAGGCAACTGTGAGGCAAGCTTACTCACTGCTTGTGACTGAGCATCCCATTCTTGTGGTCATGGCAGAACGAAGCAGTGGTTTGGACCTCCAATAGCCCCCACCCCAAGATTTCTAGATTTCGCTGAAAATACTCTAACAAACCACTTTGTTCCTTAAATCGTTGCTTTTTAGAGGAGATTTAATTTAAAATATGCATTTATGACTAAATGAAACCCTCTGCTATGCAAACAAAAAGATTACTGTTTGAAATAATTCCCGTCTTGTTGGGATGTTGTCCAGAACTCATATTTTGTCAGAGCCAAACTGCAATGGGACTACAAGTGTTCTGCTCCAGATCTGGTAATTCACAACTTCAGGGGCCACATCCTTCTTTCAGCTCAACCACTGTAAGTTCAAAGTTACTCCACTGACTTCACATTTGGCCCTAGATGTGGAAAACAGGATTTCACCTCCGTGTCACGCTTTGCTCAATTTCTTCTTGGATTTCTCTTTGTTCATTTTGCTCTCTGATTCAAAAACAAGAATTTAATCCAGCCAACAGATTCACTCAAGTAATAAAGAGCCAAAGTAAAATGGGCCAAAAAAAAGTAGAAACTGGAATGTGCTGGTGCATGGAACTGAGGCCCAAAGGCATGCAATACCTTTTGCTCTGGCTGACAGAAGCTGTTCCTATTATTCATGTATTTTGAGGAAAGGAGAGCAATCAAGTTTATGGTATTGCGTGAACAAAAGTGTATTTTAATTAATTCTGAACATCAGGGATTGTCAGCTTTGAGATCATATTTCATTATGTTTTTCAAAAACTTGCTACCACGATTGGTTCTGCTTTAGGCACCAAAGTGAGCCAGGCCCTTCTGTGTGTCAGGATAATGAGGAGTCTAAGTACGCAGCCTTTCCCTTGCACAGCTCACACAGAAGTAAAATAAAATTTCAATCTGTGCGTTCCTCCCTTTCCTCCTATCCTCCCTGCTGTAAAAAAGGATGCAAAGAAATGTGTGGGAAAATAAATGTGCTAACTTGAAGTATTCCAAAATCTTGAGACTGATTGAAAAATAAACTGTGGGCTTTAGAATTCATCTTTCCAAATCTTTGTCTACAACTAGAAAAGCTCAGACCCTTTTAAAGAAAAGCAGAAGCTGGCAGCCTCAAACGTTCTCACGTTGACATGTCTCTGGAAGCATGGGCTGTGTAAAAACACACTAAGTATTAGATTAGGCAACAAAGACTGTTTTTCAGCTCCATGCTAATTACTGGAACCGGCCAGACTTGCATGTGCAGAGAAAGAAACTGAGAGTAATCCTACCCCAGAAAAGTCATTCCTTCCCCAGGCATGTGAACTCAGATCCAGGCAGAATCCTATGACATGATTTATGAATTCCTTAATATAAATTAAAACTATCAAATAAATTATTTAAAACATTTCTTACAGATGAAAAATTAGAAGTGCAAAAGCTACTGCAAGGTATTAACATTGGTCAGCTGGTATATGCTTTGGGGATGATTTAAGCAAACCGTGACTTCATATAAACACATTGCCTCAGGGTTTACACCCTCACTTTTGTGTCTACTGGAAATGCAGATATGTTTAATCAGAAAGTTAGCTAGCTTGCCTTCCCATATCAGAAACATTAGTCTCTATTAATCACATTCCCATCTGATTTTTATTCCATCCTTGGTTTTGTTCTGTCTTTCATTTATTTATATATATATACATATATAAATAATCAAATAAATACCAAAAAAATACCAAATAAAGCTTTGGCTTACCTCCTGTAATTGCAAAGGACTGTATGTGAATGGGTTTCTGTTTGCTGCTTATATGGGAACTGCTGAGTCAGGGCCTGAACCTCTGATTGATCACCTGAGGCGAGCACTGAGTCAGCCAGAGGAGCACAGGTGAAGGCAATTCACCTGTGTGCTGCAAGGGGTGGAGCCTGGCTGCACCCTTCCTAGAGCCATTTAAGAGCTGGCTACCGGGGGGGAGGTTTTTTTCTGGAGATTGCTTCTGTTGGTGTTTTGTGAGTGAGCCCAGGGTAGGGGTAAGCCTTTTTATTATTCTCTTTTGTTATTATAGTTTACTTTGTCTCATTCTCTTGGTTATTTTGTGGTTATACCATTCTAATATTCTTTGATTATACGTTGCTGTTGTTATTGCTTTTGTTGTTAGGTACACTTGATAAGACTTTCTTAGTCTTGAGTAATACATCATCAAGATGGAAATAAATGTACTTCATAGCTGTTGAGTACCCGGACAAATAAACTAAAGCAGGCTGAAATATCTTCAGTGGCTGCTGTCTTCACTATTTCACAGCCTCTTCTTCTCCCTTGTTCTCCTTGTCACCCTTCACAGGGATGTGGGGTGCTGGGAGAAGGAACATTTTTGGGAAGCGAAATGGAAAATTGTTTTG